AGAGAGAGAGAGAGAGAGAGAGAGAGAGAGAGAGAGAGAGAGAGAGAGAGAGAAAGAAAGGGAAGGAAGGAGACAGAGAGGAAGACAGGAGGAAGGGATCCTGCTGTCTGTCTGGTCAGCTTGTCTCAGTTGGCGGAGAATTCCATGAGCGCGATACCAAATTGAGCGCCACACCTTTCTCTTGATTTGAACTAGAGAACGCCGGCGTTTTCAGGGGGCGGAGCTAAAACGTGAGTTTCACACCTAGATCTGTAGGAAAAAATCTCACAGTTCACATGGGTCTGACTTCAGGCTCAGGACCGGGGCCCTCCCTGACACCCAGCCTGGATTCGCTTGTCCTGCGCACTGACGACCCGGTCTCAGGGACGCGGAGCGGGTGGGATCCGAGGTCACACTCTTGCCTACGCGGATCCCGAACTTTTTCCTTGGCTGTCCTCCACAGGACACACGACACTGTCCCGGGGAATGAGATGAATAAAAACGTTAAATTTTGCCTGTGGTTTCCCATCGCTTCACTGCGTGAGAGTTGTCCTTTGTCGAGGGACACCACACGCTGCCCGTCTGCACAGGGGTGCCCGGCGGAGCCCTGGTGGCCCTGGCTGGCCAAGGCCAGTGACGTCCTGTGTGAACTCCGGTTCCCGAGGCCTCCTGGGCTTGGTCCTTGGGTGGCCGCTTTCATTCCTGCAGGTCAGTCGGGCTGCATATAAAATCTTTTCATTTTTAAATTCGTCTTTGTATTAGTACATGTTTATTCTACAGCTAAAACTAGAAATTCCATTCAACCCAGCTGTTCCCCTTCTAGGAATGTTCTGGAAAGAGCTGAAGACATCACGTCACAGTGACCCGTGCCCACCTGTGTCCAGGGCAGCACAGCTCGGGATGGGTAAGACACATCGGATTGCATGTTCTGCTTGTAAATGGGGGAGGCCAGGCTTGCAGGGCCTGGCGACACTGACTTTCTCCGTGATGGGTAACTTCCTGTTTTTGATTGTATCCCCAGAGCATTTCCTTCCTTCAGTCTCAAAGACCCCAACTCTTCTGGCATGGCTCTCACTGCTGGGATCTCCGTGTCACTCTGTGTGTGACGCCCCACTCCCACGGTTTCTCAGTCAGAAATGCAATGTGTTCCCGACCTGCGCGCGCTCCTCCTTGGGGTCCTCAGCTTCAAGTTCACCCCATCACCTTCGCTTGGTTTCGAAGTCTGCCCCTTTCTCTACAGTACTTTTAAAGTTTATCCTTTCATTTCTTTGCACCTTTGTCTCTTTCCCGGCTTCTGTCCCCACCAGGCCGCTGCTCCCTGTTCCCCCAGGACTGTTTGGGTCCGAGAGCCCTGTGGCCCCTAACCTTCCCCGCCTCCTCGCCTCTCCTCCGAGCCTCCCCAGTGCTGAGTGATGCTTTGCTTTTTTATCCTGCATGTTTTTCTTTTTTTCTGAGACAGGGTCTCACTGTGTCACCCAGGCTGGCCTCAAACTTTTGGTGACCCTCCTGCCTCAGCCCCTCGAGTGCTGGGATTACTCTCCTGCAGCACCGCACCTGGCCTCACTGTCTGTCATTCTAAAGGGCAGAGCCACGTTTCCTCCTGATCGGGTTGTGTCTTCCTGTCTCTGCCTCTCTGTCACATCCTCACCCCATGTGAGTGACTCTGGGTCCTTCCTTGCTCCTCGCCTCCTGCGGTGAGGACCAGGATATGCGTTCTGGCTGGGTCCCGGGTCTCATCTCTTGTTCCTCAGCCTCCTCACTGGCCCCGGTGGTCCAGCCCGGGTCCCTTTGTCCCGAAAGGAAGTCCGGGCCGGTTGGCTCTGAGCACCCCTGAGAGACTTCAGGCCTTCCTGGGGCCTCACCCAGCCCTGCTCCTGGGAGACCCCTGGTCCTTCCTCCTACCCTGGACGCCTGAGCTGCTGTCCTCCCTAGACCCCAAGGCCAGGTCCCTTCCTCCCTACTGTGATCCCACAGGCGTGTGGTAGCTTGGGGGACTCCTCCTGCCCTGTGTACCCCCCCTATGTACTCTGAGGTTCCTGGTGTGCTCTGTTTTTATTACTATCACAGAATACCCCAGGCAGGCAGGCTTGGTGAGGAGAGAGGGTCAGCAATGTGGCGGGTCTCCAAGTGCAGCCTCTGTGTCCACCCAGCCAGGGGCTCCCAAAGGAGGTGCTGGACCCAGCATCACTGGCCTGGGAACCATGGGTGTCCTGGGCCCTGCTGGCGACTTCTGAACCAGACACCGGGGCAGCCCCAGCAATCTGTGTCCCAGTTGCCTCCCTGGTGGCTTCAATGTGTGCTGACGTAGGGGGTCCCCTGCGAGATCCCCTTGTCTTCTTGTGATCTTCTCTCTGAAATCCCCTGCTAGGGACCAGGGGCTTGCCTGGCGTACCGCTATGGGCCGGGAGTCACCCTGGGGTCTGGCGAGTCCCCGGGCTGCCTGCCGTCCCTGCCGCAGGAACACTGCTTCACCTTGCCACGCCTGTGACCGTTTCGCCCCATTCCCATCGCCAGCCCTGAGGTGGCGAGGTCCGTTCTGATACCGCCAGGGTTAAAGTGAGAGTCAGAAAGAGGCCTCGCACCTTGCTATACAACAGTGAGGAGGAGAATGGGCAGCCAGGGCTGGCCCGGCCTGGACACCCCCGAACCCCTTCTTTACTGAGCAGTTTTCATCAGCCCAGTCTGGGCTGGGCGCTGGGCGGGGAGAGGTCCAGATGGACGCACTGACTCCGCGAGAGCTGCACGCTGGGTACGGCAGGGGAGCGGGAGGCGGGCAGGGAGCAGGTGGACAGGTGGGTGGACAGGTGGGTGGACGCAGGAGACAGTAAATACACAAGGGGGTGCTTGCTAAGTGCTTAAATGGGTATGTAGGTGATAGATAATAGTTACATAGATAGATAAATGCGTAGGTGGGTCATAGATGGGCAGATACAGCTAGAGAGGTAGATGGCAAGTAGGTGCCGATACGCACGTAGGTACACATACAAGCGCTCTATATGTGTATTTATATAAATGTAGTACATTTTTAATCAGTGACTGTCAGCAGTGCCTGGAGTTCTTTGAGAGTGCTGGTCAGAGACATGCCATTTGGTTTAGAGATAAAGGGCAAAAATTTAGAGGAAGAGGTATTTTGGGAGACAGGATGGCTAGGCGTGACCTAGGCGAGGAGAGAAAGCGTGACCTAGGCGAGGAAGTGTTCGGAGCTGCTGTCGTGAGGTTTTAAATTCCTGAAATAAACATCTAAGCGGAGAGTTAAGAAGATAAAAACGTGGCAGCTCGGCAGGTAGGACCCCAGGGCTCAGAGACAGAGGCGGGTGCTGCGGCCCCTCCCGGTCCCACAGGAGGGACAGTGACAGGGTGAGCTCGGCCCAGGACGACACAGGCACACGGGTGGGAGGTGGGAGCCCTGGTGCTCAGGGAGGGAGGCGGCCCTGAGCCGTTCTGTCCTTCGCCTGGCTGTACCTGTGATGTCATCGGCGGGTCACCTTAGGAGACCCTGACAGCTGTGGGCAGTGCCGAAGAACAGGCCGAAGGGACTGGCTTTTCCTTTAGGTGAGAGTGGCTGCAGTCTGCGCTCGTCTTGGATTCCGTGCGTCTGTCCCACACGGTCGGCTTCCTCCAGCTCTGGGCCCTGGTGGCCCCTTGGACTTCGGTCCCTCTCACCAGGCCGGTGGGTGGCATCTTCGTGCTGTCCTTCGACAAGGACAGGGCTGTGTGTGGGACTTGGAGAGGTGGCCGATGACAGGTCAGGGCTCTGAAATAACCCTCCGTGTAATGCCGTCTGCAAAGCCCACGGCTCATTAGTGTGGGATCTCATCGCCGTTATCTGACAGCGGTTGGGTGAGTGGTCGAGCTTGACCCGTCCATCGATTCCGTCGGCTTCAAGGAGCGCAGAACAGGCCAGGCACGCTGGGACCGCCAGACTTCTGACGCTCCCATTCTAAACCTCCGGGTTTAGATCTTCGTCTTGAAAGCCTCCCTCACTTGAGCCAGGGCGTCTGTCCTCCTCCGTTAAAGCACAGTGCGGACTTGCTCGGGTAATTGTGTAACGGTGGCTGTTTTTTTCCTCCCTAAAGCGTCTTCCGCGTGGACAGTGTCCTTTGAAGCGGGCTGGGAAGATGCGGGCAGAGGTGAGGCCGCCGTGCAGCGGTTCCTATCCTGCAAGGGAGGCGGCCGCAGAGCTGGGAGGAGTCTATTGATATTCAGGGCTTTGACCTGCTCACAATAACCACTGGCTCTGGGGTCGCCGCGCTCGTCCCCACATTATGTGGCCGAGGAGGTGCGGGGCCCCCGTCTGTGTCCTTTTGCAGCAGGGCTCTGGCCACGGAGCGGGGCGGGGGCGGGATGAGCGGGGCGGGGGCGGGATGAGCGGGCTGGGACGGGGAGGCATTCCCAGCCATCCCACGCCCCACGTGGCGAGAGGTTGCAGGGTGATCCGCCCGGAGGTGTGGGGCGTGATGGGTCGTTTTCAAAACCTCCTGCAGGAAGAGAAAGGAGGAAATTAATAGCATATCTCGAAGCTGGAATTTTAAAGGGCACCAAGCAAGACAACACCCTGCTGTTGCTATTTCTTTCTTTGTGTTAAAATTTTTTCCCTCTCCTGACTTTGAAAGTAGCTAGTGTTTTTTTTTAAAGGAAAAAAAAAAAAATCAAAGCCTTACCAACCGTTTCTTTTTGACAATGGAGAGTGCTTTTCCCCTGGTCCTCAGCTCATTCTGAGTACAGTTCTAGCGTCTCATAGAATTCGCGGCTGGCCTGGCCTATTTTTATTACGGGATGCAGAGGCAGGCAGGGCCTTTGGGTGAGCAGCAGGGTGCTGCGGGTGGAGGAGAGGAAGGCGGCGAGGGCCGGGACAGGAGTCCCCGGGCAGCGCCCATGCCTGCCTGCCCGCCACGATGCCCTCCATCAGCGACAGCAGGCCCAGCTGGCACCCAGCATCCCCAGCTCCCACACGCCCCCGCCCGCCTGTCCGGTCCGCCGCCTGTGGTGACAGTGAGTCTGTCTCTGCAGGCTAACTGTGAGCCCTAAAGGACTGGTGAGCCCTGACCTGCGGTCTCTGACCGCCCTCCAGCTCCCAGGCCTCAGGACAAGGCCACCACCAGCTTTGTCTTTATCACACAGTGGGGAGTTTGTGCTTATTCTCTGAGTACGTTCGGGTCACTGTGTGTCAGACCACACCGTGTTGTTCTGCGGGGCCCGGGTAAGGACCCTTCTCCTGGAGCACAGTGCAAACTCTTCTGGATGGGGTTGGACGGTCTGCCCCGGGCCGGCCTCCTGGGCATCACTCCACGAGCTGCAGGTGACCAAGTCCCCCTCTGGCACTGTGTGGACGGCGAGTGCTTCCCCAGGACACGTAGCGCCAGCTCAGTCCCAGGGATCTTGGCCGCGTGTTCCCAGCGGTATCCCAGCTCATCCCGGCCACCTGTGTCTGTCCTGCAGGCGGAGGGACTCACTTCCCCGTGCTGGGCAAGGGCAGCGCCCCAAGGGGCCAGGTGAGAAGCAGGATGGTGACCTTGAGGGGGACCCTCGTGCACAAACGCTCACACACACATTTACACTCAGACCCTCGTGGATACACACAGCAATACGTGCACACACAGACACGTGCACACACATGCAGGCACGCACACATTCATACACATGTACTCTTACACATGCGCATATCGCTCACATATACATTCATGCTCGTGCATACATACATGTGTGTGCATGTACACATGCTTCTTCCTGCATGTTCACTCACACACGTGACCTTCTGTGCACGTGCTCACTCATGTTCTCAGCAAGCACACACACACTCACAGGGGTGCACACATGCACACTCAAGCCACGATCGTCCTCCCTCTACGCACGTCTGACCGAGGGCTCCTGCTCCCCCGTCCCAGGGTGCAGCAGTCAGGTCCGGGCAGTCACAGGCGCGGCGGCACTGGCTGGCATGGGTCCGCTCCTGTTTGCCCCGAGTCCTAGGGAGACGTCACCGCCCACATGAGGAGACCTCGCCTCGGTGCTGGACCTGGACGCTCCGGCCGGGGCGCTGCCTGCCACCTTCTTGCAGGGCTTTACCCATATTTTAAATAGCAGGTTGAGCAGAGCCGACTTTGCGAAGAGCAAGCAGCCTGATCGGTCACTAACTGAAGGAGAGTCCCCGCGTGGGCCCCTGACCGGCCAGTCTTCTCTTGCTGCTGTGTTTTGCTTCTCTTCTTCCTGTGTCTCGTGGTGTGTATCCCGCCGCTGCTCCTGTGGGTCCTCTCAGGCTGGGTCCTGGCCTGGATCCGTCCCAGGCCTTCGCTCTAGCCCTCTTCCATCAGCGTGGCTGGCCCCTGTCCCCACACAGCTGGCTGGGATGCACTGGGAAGGATGGCTTCCCCTCTGCAGCTGTGATCCAGCAGCGCTGGTCCACATGAGACAGCAGGGTGGGGGGATGCCGTGCGGGGAGCGGGAGGCCCCAGAATGGCCCGAGCCTCCAACAAGCCCTGCACCCAGCAGCCCAGGGAGGAGCCGTGGGATTTGTGGACGAGCTGTGTGCTTGGCCTGTGGCGGAGGAGGATGGGAGACCCAGGCGGCCCGGTCCCGCTGGCCAGGGACAACAGTGCCCCTTGGGGGCTCGGTGCGGGCACTGGGACTTTGCGGAGGCTGTGGGACTCTGAGTCCGCTCTGGACACACGGCATCCAGGCACGCTGTGGCCTGAGTCGGACAGGACCTGGGGGCAGCAGGCAGCCCCCAAGGCCCATGCTGAGACCCAGCCCTGGACACGTGTGGCCGCTTCTGGAGCAGGACCTGCAAAGAGGTGAATAAGTCAAAGGGCACCAGGCCTCAGCCCAGTACAGTGGGGAGGGTGCAGACATGCAGCAGCGGCGGGCTGTGCGGACCGGGAGGAGGCGCCCACCTCGGCCGCATGGACCCGGCCGGGACACCGTGGGCTTGGACTTCCAGCCTCCAGGACCGCGGGGAAGGGGAGAACAGGAAGGGAATTCTGGGGCCCAATCATGCGGTCCCTGGTGTTTTGCCACTCTGGCCGACAAGCACTGAGGGTGAAGAGGGGAATTTAACTTAAAATGATAGAACGGGTCTTTCCACCAGGCGTGTCGGCATGCGCCTGTAACGCCCGCACTCTGGGAGGCTGTGGCAGGAGGATTGCAAGTTCAAGCCCAGCCTGGACAGCTTAGCCAGACCCTATCTCAAAGACAGAATTTATTTTTGTAGTTCAGGGCTCGCCAGGTTTAATTCCCAGTAAGGGAAAGACAGAGAGACAGAGAAGGAGGGAGAGCTTAACACATATTTCACTTTCCCGCTTTGGCTGTGAAGTCATCTCCTGTCCACACCGCACGACGTGTCACAGCAAGTCCTGAAGCCCGAGGGAAGGGAGCCCGGTGGCCGGAGGAAGCCCGGCTGGATGTGAGCGAGAAGACGAGAGCGGAGAGCTGCGGCTCCAGCCCCGCGCCGTCGCATCTCCGCATGGGCATGATGCGCCAAGCGAGCCGGCCACCGCGGCACGCGCCGCCCAGCTGCCTCCAGCGCAGACCCGCGGTTCCCCTCCGATTTCCGATCCCGCCACGGGCGCCGCTGCCACGGAGAGCTGATAAGGGAAAAAACTGGGCCAGGATTTAAATTAATGCTTTTAGACAAATATCCGCTACATCTCTAATTCTAATGCTAATTACATTTGCAGATCAAAGACCACTCCACAAAGTTTTGCTTTTGAAAAACAGGCAGAGATTTACTTCCTGTTTGATATTTCCACTGACTTGGTGGGGACAAGCGCCCTGAGAGCCAGGCCCCTCCGTGAGGACGCGCCGGGGACCAGGGCCCTGAGGTCCTTCGGAGGCCGGAAGTGCAGGGTGGACCCTGTCACCTCTCACGTCTGCTCTGTGACTGTCGGCCCAGCCCGGTCTGTCCCGCCTGGGCTGCCTGCTCCCCGCTGCAGAGACACTGCCGGGACCCGTGCTGCGACCTCACCTTGGCCCACTTAGCGGCCACCTCTCTCTCCGCCCAGGATCCTGCGGAGTTTCACGCTTTTGGGGGACTTCTTACTTCCCCAAATGCCCATGCCTCGTCACCCCCCCCCGACCTTCCTCGACGGGCCTTCCTTCCCTCTGGCCTCTGCGCGAAGGTCCCAGGGTCACAGCGAGAACAACGGTGCTTCTCCTGCTGAGTAGTCCCAGGGCTTCCGCAGCAGCCTGGGTGTTAGCTCCGGCTCCTGTGTCCTACTGGTTGCTGAGGTTCGGGTCTGCGATGTCCTCCCAGTCTCCTGTATTGGGGGGCGGCTGGTCAAGGGGCGCTGCAGGGAAGCCCCCGTGAGGAGCTCGTTGCTAGGTAGGGCCTGGTGGGAGCAGGTCACCGCAGTGAGCTGGAGAGGGGTGCTCTGTTCTCCCGGCTCCTCCTGCTCCCTGCTCCCTGGCTGCTGTGGCTCAGGCCCTCCTTGCCATGCTGCTCCCGCCCTGGAGCCCGGAGCATGCACTGCACCCTGGAGCCATGAGCCACGCTGGGCCCTCCTCCTCCTGTCCTTCACCGTGGGTGCTGGTGTTGACTCAGTGACAGGCAGTGACTGGGACGCGGGCACGTCACCTAGAGGGCTCCACCTTCCCCATCCCTCCCACAAACACAGTGAGACAGCTCAGCTGGGCCCTGGACCTCCAGTGCCCCATCTGGACGTGGCCGCTGGAACTGGGACTCAGGGTCCCCCTTCCCATTTCTCCATCTTTTCCCCAAACTCCAGCCAGAGCCTGCTGAGTTCTCCTGGGTTGGGGACTAAAGCCTTCGGCTACCCTGCCACAGGCTCCGAGGCCAGGCCCTGCCTGGCTGCCACCTCGTCCCCACCACCCAGAGGCTCCAGCCATGGGCCCTGGGACACACACACCCTTTTCCAGAATGCTCCTTCACTGTTTCTTCTCTCGGCTGCATTCGCTGCCTCCTCAGAGAGCCCTTGGTGACAGCTCTGGGAGGAGCAGGTCACCCGGGATTCCCATAGCAGCGCTGGCGAACAAGGTGATCTGGGGCTCTGTCCTCAGTGTCTCCACATACCCAGGGCACATCCAGTGCTGATGTAGGATTTTGATCTGCAAGTCACTCAACAAACATGCACAGAGATCTTCTGTGAGTGGGTCCTGGGTTACTGGTTACAAGATGCAATCCTCTCTCCCTCGCCCAGGGAGCTCAGGGTCTGGCAGGGCGCACAGACCCCTAGGCGGATAAACACCCCAGCCCCCACCCCCGACAAATACGGGTGCCCCAAGAAAGGGTGCTTGGCCCAGTGAGGTGGGGACCCTTGGGTGAGTGGGGGAGATCAAGGAGCTGGCGGGGCAGGGCCCTGGGGTCTTGGCCCAGGTGCGGGCAGAGGCGCCAGCCCCCAGGAGGCGGCAGCAGGAGCCTCGATCAGACTTGCCGCTGCCGCGCCCGCCCGCAGGGCTCGCAGGTGGGGCTCTGCAGACAGCTCAGGAGCCGCTGCCGCCCGCCCGGGGCAGGTGAGGGCGCAGCCAGGAACGGGGCAGGGAGCCAAGGAAGGGACCCAGGGACAGACCGACAAAGAGCATTTTCTGCCTGGAGAATGTGAAGTTAGGGGCGTGGGGAGGGACGTCCTTCAGGTGATTCAGACACTGCCGGGGCGTGTGCCGGCTTGTCGCAGGCAGAGAATCC